ATTAAAAGCGAATTATAACGAGAAAATTTTCCTGGACTGGGTCCTTTCGAACTGGAGGGAATGTGTCCATCAGCAGTTTACCATTAGCTGAAGAAGTACGATTCTTCGGTTGGAGGATATAAATTCATTATTAAATGACATTATTATCATCAAAAGAATATATTAAAACCAAATTATATCGGGAAAATTTTCCTGGACTGGGTCCTTTCGAACTGGATGGCATGTGTCCATCAGCAGTTTACCATTAACTGAAGAAGTATGATTTTTTGGTTGGGGGGTATAAATTAATTATTAAATAACATTATTGTCATCAAAAGAATATATTAAAACCGAATTATAACGAGAAAACTATCCTGGACTGGGTCCTTTCGAACTGGATGGCATGTGTCCATCAGCAGTTTACGATTAGCTGAAGAAGTATGATTCTTCGGTTGGGGGGTATAATTTCATTATTCAATAACATTATTAGCATCAAAAGAATATATTAAAACCGAATTATAACGAGAAAATTTTCCTGGACTGGGTCCTTTCGAACTGGAGGGAATGTGTCCATCAGCAGTTTACCATTAGCTGAAGAAGTACGATTCTTCGGTTGGAGGATATAAATTCATTATTAAATGACATTATTATCATCAAAAGAATATATTAAAACCAAATTATATCGGGAAAATTTTCCTGGACTGGGTCCTTTCGAACTGGATGGCATGTGTCCATCAGCAGTTTACCATTAACTGAAGAAGTATGATTTTTTGGTTGGGGGGTATAAATTAATTATTAAATAACATTATTGTCATCAAAAGAATATATTAAAACCGAATTATAACGAGAAAACTATCCTGGACTGGGTCCTTTCGAACTGGATGGCATGTGTCCATCAGCAGTTTACGATTAGCTGAAGAAGTATGATTCTTCGGTTGGGGGGTATAATTTCATTATTCAATAACATTATTAGCATCAAAAGAATATATTAAAACCGAATTATAACGAGAAAATTTTCCTGGACTGGGTCCTTTCGAACTGGAGGGAATGTGTCCATCAGCTGTTTACCATTAGCTGAAGAAGTACGATTCTTCGGTTGGAGGGTATAAATTCATTATTAAATAACATTATTATCATCAAAAGAATATATTAAAACCAAATTATATCGGGAAAACTTTCCTGGACTGGGCCCTTTCGAACTGGAGGGAATGTGTCCATCAGCAGTTTACCATTAGCTGAAGAAGTATGATTCTTCGGTTGGGGGTATAAATTCATTATTAAATAACATTATTGTCATCAAAAGAATATATTAAAACCGAATTATAACGAGAAAATTTTCCTGGACTGGGTCCTTTCGAACTGGAGGGAATGTGTCCATCAGCAGTTTACCATTAGCTGAAGAAGTACGATTCTTCGGTTGGAGGGTATAAATTCATTATTAAATAACATTATTATCATCAAAAGAATATATTAAAACCAAATTATAACGAGAAAATTTTCCTGGACTGGGTCCTTTCGAACTGGAGGGAATGTGTCCATCAGCAGTTTACCATTAGCTGAAGAAGTATGATTCTTCGGTTGGGGGGTATAAATTCATTATTAAATAACATTATTGTCATCAAAAGAATATATTAAAACCGAATTATAACGAGAAAATTTTCCTGGACTGGGTCCTTTCGAACTGGAGGGAATGTGTCCATCAGCAGTTTACCATTAGCTGAAGAAGTACGATTCTTCGGTTGGAGGGTATAAATTCATTATTAAATAACATTGTTATCATCAAAAGAATATATTAATACCAAATTATATCGGGAAAACTTTCCTGGACTGGGTCCTTTCGAACTGGATGGCATGTGTCCATCAGCAGTTTACCATTAGCTGAAGAAGTATGATTCTTCGGTTGGGGGGTATAAATTCATTATTAAATAACATTATTGTCATCAAAAAAATATATTAAAACCAAATTATAACGAGAAAATTTTCCTGGACTGGGTCCTTTCGAACTGGAGGGAATGTGTCCATCAGCAGTTTACCATTAGCTGAAGAAGTACGATTCTTCGGTTGGAGGGTATAAATTCATTATTAAATAACATTATTATCATCAAAAGAATATATTAATACCAAATTATATCGGGAAAATTTTCCTGGACTGGGTCCTTTCGAACTGGAGGGAATGTGTCCATCAGCTGTTTACCATTAGCTGAAGAAGTACGATTCTTCGGTTGGAGGGTATAAATTCATTATTAAATAACATTATTATCATCAAAAGAATATATTAAAACCAAATTATAACGAGAAAATTTTCCTGGACTGGGTCCTTTCGAACTGGATGGAATGTGTCCATCAGCAGTTTACCATTAGCTGAAGAAGTATGATTCTTCGGTTGGGGGTATAAATTCATTATTAAATAACATTATTGTCATCAAAAAAATATATTAAAACCGAATTATAATGAGAAAAATTTTCCTGGACTGGGTCCTTTCGAACTGGAGGAATGTGTCCATCAGCAGTTTACCATTAGCTGAAGAAGTACGATTCTTCGGTTGGAGGGTATAAATTCATTATTAAATAACATTATTATCATCAAAAGAATATATTAAAACCAAATTATATCGGGAAAACTTTCCTGGACTGGGTCCTTTCGAACTGGATGGCATGTGTCCATCAGCAGTTTACCATTAGCTGAAGAAGTATGATTCTTCGGTTGGGGGTATAAATTCATTATTAAATAACATTATTGTCATCAAAAGAATATATTAAAACCAAATTATAACGAGAAAATTTTCCTGGACTGGGTCCTTTCGAACTGGAGGGAATGTGTCCATCAGCAGTTTACCATTAGCTGAAGAAGTACGATTCTTCGGTTGGAGGGTATAAATTCATTATTAAATAACATTATTATCATCAAAAGAATATATTAAAACCAAATTATATCGGGAAAACTTTCCTGGACTGGGTCCTTTCGAACTGGATGGCATGTGTCCATCAGCAGTTTACCATTAGCTGAAGAAGTATGATTCTTCGGTTGGGGGTATAAATTCATTATTAAATAACATTATTATAATCAAAAGAATATATTAAAACCAAATTATAACGAGAAAACTTTCCTGGACTGGGTCCTTTCGAACTGGAGGAATGTGCCCATCAGCAGTTTACCATTAGCTGAAGAAGTATGATTCTTCGTTTGGAGGGTATAAATTCATTATTAAATGACATTATTATCATCAAAAGAATATATTAAAACCAAATTATATCGGGAAAATTTTCCTGGACTGGGTCCTTTCGAACTGGATGGCATGTGTCCATCAGCAGTTTACCATTAACTGAAGAAGTATGATTCATCGGTTGGGGGGTATAAATTCATTATTATATAACATTATTATCATCAAAAGAATATATTAAAACCAAATTATATCGAGAAAACTTTCCTCGACTGGGTCCTTTCGAACTGGATGGCATGTGTCCATCAGCAGTTTACCATTAGCTGAAGAAGTACGATTCTTCGGTTGAGGGGTATAAATTCATTATTAAATAACATTATTGTCATCAAAAGAATATATTAAAACCAAATTATAACGAGAAAATTTTCCTGGACTGGGTCCTTTCGAACTGGAGGGAATGTGTCCATCAGCAGTTTACCATTAGCTGAAGAAGTACGATTCTTCGGTTGGAGGGTATAAATTCATTATTAAATGACATTATTATCATCAAAAGAATATATTAAAACCAAATTATATCGGGAAAATTTTTCTGGACTGGGTCCTTTCGAACTGGATGGCATGTGTCCATCAGCAGTTTACCATTAACTGAAGAAGTATGATTCATCGGTTGGGGGTATAAATTCATTATTATATAACATTATTATCATCAAAAGAATATATTAAAACCAAATTATATCGAGAAAACTTTCCTCGACTGGGTCCTTTCGAACTGGATGGCATGTGTCCATCAGCAGTTTACCATTAGCTGAAGAAGTACGATTCTTCGGTTGAGGGGTATAAATTCATTATTAAATAACATTATTGTCATCAAAAGAATATATTAAAACCGAATTATAACGTGAAAACTTTCCTGGACTGGTGTTCCTTTCGAACTGGATGGCATGTGTCCATCCATGTTTACCATTAGCTGAAGAAGTATGATTCTTTGGTTGGGGGGTTTAAATTCATTATTAAATAACATTATTATCATGAAAAGAATATATTAAAACCGAATTATAACGAGAAATTTTTCCTGGACTGGGTCCTTTCGAACAGGAGGAAATGTGTCCATCAGCAGTTTACCATTAGCTGAAGAAGTACGATTCTTCGGTTGGGGGGTATAAATTCATTGTTAAATAACATTATTGTCATCAAAAGAATATATTAAAACCGAATTATAACGAGAAAACTTTCCTGGACTGGGTCCTTTTGAACTGGATGGCATGTGTCCATCAGCAGTTTACCATTAGCTGAAGAAGTACGATTCTTCGGTTGAGGGGTATAAATTCATTATTAAATAACATTATTGTCATCAAAAGAATATATTAAAACCGAATTATAACGAGAAAACTTTCCTGGACTGAGTCCTTTCGAACTGGATGGCATGTGTCCATCAGCAGTTTACCATTAGATGAAGAAGTATGATTCATCGGTTGGGGGGTATAAATTCATTATTAAATAACAATATTGTCATCAAAAGAATATATTAAAACCGAATTATAACGAGAAAACTTTCCTGGACTGGGTCCTTTCGAACTGGATGGCATGTGTCCATCAGCAGTTTACCATTAGCTGAAGAAGTATGATTCATCGGTTGGGGGGTATAAATTCATTATTAAATAACATTATTGTCATCAAAAGAATATATTAAAACCGAATTATAATGAGAAAACTTTCCTGGACTGGGTCCTTTTGAACTGGATGGCATGTGTCCACCAGCAGTTTACCATTAGCTGAAGACGTATGATTCTTCGGTTGGGGGGTATAAATTCTACAGTTATTTTGGTTATAGATTATATACAATATGACTGTGAATCTTACCTGAATCATGTCTGTCCCTCTCCGGACTTCTGGCCATGACTGACGTCCTTTTGGAGGGCATCGGCATGGACGGTTTGTGCCTGTTTTGCATCGCTTGAGCCAGGGCTTGTTGGACTGCTTCTTGTCTAACTTCTGCGTAAGCCACAAAAAATTAAAAAAAATCGTTAGTTTGATTAATAGAAATAAATTAAAATCTTTTTGCTAAGCGACTTGAAAAATTATATCTTTGCTACCACTTTTTGGGTGGAGACCTTAAAAATTATTTTAGACAGTTTTTTTGGTACAATTTCTATGTACTATATATCTAGGGGTACTGGAACATCCAGTATAATATATAATAATGTAGTTATTTCTTCCCAAAAAACAACTGTAGAAAAAATATAATTTTCTCAAGTGACTGAACTGAACGGAGTTGAAAAAAAAAACAAAAAAATAGGAATTATCTTATACCAAGTAACTCTACGGCAAAATAACTTCAGACATACGTAGAATATGCACGTGCAAAGCCCAGTACGGCCCTAGGGGAAGAGGAGTAGACACGTAGACGCTACGTGCCATATTACCTCCTTCCCCCCTTCTACAAAACACCCTATCCCGGAAGAAGCAGAGAGATGCATGCATCGGACTGACAGAATAGGACATAGAACTCAAAGTTCTAGGAATTTCATTAAATAGTGCTATACAGGGTGGTCCGAATTGAAATCGGGAAACTTCGGCAGTATATTCTGCAGATAAAAATAAGTAAAAAAATGCTTTTTCTCGGAAATACAGGGTGTAGAAGTTTCGTTTTTGTAGAAAAAAATATGATTTATTTTGAAAATTTTGTTTACAAACTTACCATTTCGGTCAAATATCTATCCAGACAGTATGTATAATTTTTGTCATTAATTATTAATTATTAATATAAAAGAAACTTCTACACCCCGTATCTCCGAAACGAAACATTTTAGGACACACATTTTTTTACGTACGAACTTTTTTACTCATTTTTATCTGCAGAATATACCGGCGAAGTTTCCCGAATACAATTTGGACCACCCTGTAGACAAATACCCAGCTTTTTTGGCATATTAACCCCGTGTATTGCGTCGGAGACGATAATACACTTGCGGAAAAAAATCTATTTGTTTTTATCTACGGTTCTGTACATCGTTGCCAGAGTGACTGATAGCTCCGAGTGAAATCTCGAAAAAAAAGATATAAAGAGAATGGAGAGAAGAAGGAAATTACCTTGATAGCGTTAATAAACTCGGCCGGCGCCCTTTGTGATAAAGTCCCTTCGAAACGATGATAGCAAGAGCGGCATTGTCGCAAAAATCTGATAATTTTTGATGGACGACTTCCGGCGAGTAAAAAGTGCGCGAGATTTTAGTCAAGAGAAAGAAGAGGCGATTAGTGGGATAGTGATAGTAGTTACAATTAGAAAATACTGTTTTCAGAAATGTTAAAATATCCGAGTTAACTAAAAGTTACAGTAGGGTAATTAGTATAGTTTTCACACATTGTAGAGTAGTGATGACGCTTTGGAACAGGATCTGTTATTTTCGAAACAGGTTTGTTTTGTGTAGAATTTTGCGTTGAATTTGAGCGATTTCATCTGAAAAATTATTAATTTGGGAGAAAAGCGGCCACAAGCGGCAGATAATAATATTTTAATGCAGTCTACTACCAGCCAACAACGCAACGGCCAGGCTTGGTCGTGGTCGTTAGTACGCGTTGTATCGTTTGACTTAATGGTTTTACAGGTAGCAGCGACCTGGTCGTCAGTGCGTTTGAGCCAAGAGCGGAAAACTAATAGGATTGCTCATCCTCATAAGACGTACGTTCGCCTCTTCCCGCGCTTCAACTGACAGTTGTGACGTCATTGTAGCCCTTGTCAAAGCCTTTGTGGCCTTGTCATGATAGTGTGTATTATTAGTTGCCTATGGTAAACTTATAAATAATAAAATAATATAAAAATAACAGCTGAGAAATTTTGAGTTAATTATTTTGTCAATTTTAAATGTGAAAAAGGTGTCTTTAAAGGTTTTAGAGCTATAGAGTGTATAAATACGTTCATTTTGTGTTGTGGATTATGACAAAGTGCCCACGATTTTATTTATTAATTATTTTAAAGCAAAATATGGAAGTACTCTAAAAAGAATGCTTGCAAAAGGTGATGCTGGGACCTGCTGTTCTTAAAAATGCATTATCCGAGTATTTAATACGATTTATACAGTTAATTTTCTTTACTGCATACATATAAGGTGTTTAAATAAATAAACTAAATAATAAACGTTTTGCATTCGGTAACCAATAATGCACGTGTGTGTATTATTGGTTGCCGGATAAGGACTAATAACCATGACAAGGGCTACAATGACGTCACAAAGCTAGTAGTTTTCGCATGCACCTGGCGGACACTTTTGGCTGAATGAGCAGTCCTATTAGGTTAACTGTTCTTGCGTTTGAGCCCTGGGAGTTAATTTAGAAAAGGAAGACTATACACTCACCGATGTTAAGAAGAAGGAGAGAAAAACAATGATCTGTAGCGACTCACCTGAATGGTAGCGGCTTTCGTTACGCGTTAGCCTCCTATTGCCCCTCCGCGCCGCCCTTGTGGCGGGACTGTGCCCTCCGGGGGGACCTTGCCGCCCAATTTGACCGCCCTGTTGTTGCTCGCAGCCCACATCTGCACATGCCAAACAACAACGACAACTAAGCGCATGCCAATCACAGTGAACAATATAAAAAAAAACTATACATGTATTTTCAGTGATGCAAAACAATAATGGTGATGATTGTAATAAATAAAATACAGGGTGTCCCAGAAATAAGTGCAAGTATTTTAACTGGTAGTACTAAAGGATAGGTAAATTTGGGATTTTTCTTAGATTTTAGTTAAAAAACATCATTTCTTGATAATATTGCAACATAGGCATTAGATTAAATTTACAAGAAAGGAAATCCAGAAAAGATCCAGCGGTTCTCAAAATTTTAGCAAAAAATCCCTTTTTTGGAAATTTTCAAAGTAAAATAACTCTGTTAATTTGGACTTATTTGAAAAACGATAAAGAGAAAATATGTTTTTTTTATCGAGATCTACCACCCCTTAAAATACTTATTTCTGGGACACCCTGTATATTAGAAGCGAACGATATATTATGGGTATATGGTAACCATGCAGATATGTGACGTTGGTTTGATTTGGATTGGTTGTAAAATGAAATTATAGTTCTTGTATACAACCAAACTTAAATAAAAAAACTGACATACATATATAGGGTGATTCACGGCGATGGCACGTTAGACCTTTATGGAGAACCGGTGATAGAATGTTTTTGATTTTTTTCTATAGATATAGATCGGAGATTTTTTTTAGAGAACAACAATCTTGTTCTCTAGGATATAATGTACGCTTAGCCTGGGACACCCTGTATGCCTAGTAAAAATATAGAATCGCTTATCATGTTTTCCCCTGGACCTTTCAATTTAGACAGAAGGAGAAAGTTCCTTTAGGCAAAAATAAATATTTTCAAAAAAATCCTATGACCGGTTACTCATAAACGTCTAAGTATAGCTTAGAAATGATCGTGAATCACCCTGTATATATATATTAGACATAATATAAACGTCACAAAATAAACGAAAAGAAGTGAAAATGCCAAAAATAAAATATTTCCTTGCACTAAAATATAGTCTGTCCAACGAGCCGGGGAAGATTATGACAGACCACATACAAAAAATGACAGAAAATACAATTTACGTGTGTATTAAAATGACAGACACGTCCGTCACTATCGTAATATATCCTCGATCTCGTCGAACAAACTATGTTGACGTTGATAACGTGCCACAACATCGGCTCTACCTGAATGGTAGCGCTTCTCGTTGTGGGTGACGCGCCGCTGAGTGCGACGCCTCGTGTGCTGTTGGGGCGGCCGGTCGCCGCCCCTGCCGCCACCGCTGCCGCCCCCACCGCCAACGCCGCCCTCTGGCTCGCTGCCGGCTGAAGCGGAAAGCAAACGGTCAGGTTAGTGAGCATCAGGGACCTTCACATATTGATTGATATTTTTGTGTAGTAAAATAGTTAATAAAATAAAATAGTAGAGAAGTAAAGAGGCCTTAATCCCTCCAAGTGTGCTAATTTCTCCATCAAGTTTCCCAAGTATCCCCATCATCGAAGGATCTAGCAAAATTAGCCTGGTGATGGGAACATGTTGCCGAAACCGGTCGTCGAATGTTTGTTTCTTTAGGTCTTATAAACTTGCAGAAATTAGCACACTTGTACGCCTTAAGGGTTTTTTACTCTTCTTTGTATATTATTTTATTTTATTTTATATAGAACCACACTTTGCTTTTAGCTCCATCAACGGTTGCGTAGATGAAGCAAGCTTGAATATATCGATATTTTGGAATATTGAAATACGCTATACATTCCTATTAGTTAGTATAAACAGAATACCAATGTTAAAGTTAAAATGTTATGTACTCTACGTCATCAATCTTTTACAAACCTTTTGTGATCCAAAAAACCAAAAAATTGTGATCATCAAATAGGAAACACTTAAGAATGCGCTGCTATAGCAAAAGTTGTGCAACTAAAAGAAGCGCCAAAAAAAGTTTTAGAATAGGAAATAATTAAAAAGAGATAGATAAACTCTCTATTGACTAACTTCACTTTCTTTATAAATTTTAAATTCACTTCGATCCCTTATTTCTCATTAGCGCCACTTTTATCATTATTTAGTGAACCCTTATTCTTCCCATTTTTGTGACCACTTTTTCAAATCAAGTCTCATAAGAGATGTTGAAAGCAGCAGAACAAATTTTATAAAAAAAAAATTAAAATCAATTGTGAAATGTTGCCAAGCCATTTTTTTTACTTTGACTTTTGCAAGTATGAATTGATAATTTTGTCTTTGATTTTTTATTTCAAATTTAGATAATTTAGTCAAATGAAGTTATTAACAAGTTTTCTGAGTCTCCAGTAATTTTATTAGTAATTTTTTGTGAAATTCTACTCACAGTCCGTAAACTGAATTGAGCGCAGCTGAAACACGCTGAAAAATCTAAGTACTTTCGATATAAAGCATCAAAACTTAAGAAACAATAGTAATTTTCACCTTTCTAAAACAGTATAGTGGCAAAAGAGACTCGCCATGATCTCTTTCCTGTTCAAAATAATTGAGTAGAGACGAGACAAGTTGCTGATTCCGACTATTTAGTGATTTTGGCAATGCAAAGCGTAGTTTAATGAAACGAAACGCAAATTTGAACACATGACTGAGGGGTTCCACTCCAAAACTCGCAATTATCAACAATATCACCAACAAACATCCTCAGTTTGTCAATAATAGAGAAGCCATTTTTACAGATGTAACAAAATATTGCGCCAAATAGGGTTTATGGGCCCTCGACTACGTTTGGATGTGTTAAAAACAGGTGGATGACACTTCTTATGGGAGAACTGGCAATGGTTGAAAACTTGACTACAAGCGATTTTCTAGGAATCTTCCTTACCGATAAATTATTGACAAGAGTGACAGATAAAACCTTGACGTTCTTTCAGTATTCCAGTTCATCTCTTTTTCTTTCTAAAGTGTGCGTTGAAAGGAGACAAAAACAATTTTTGGTGACCCATAATTTGTTATTCGAACACCACTTTTCTCCTTGTCGGGTCGTTGACGTTGACTTGTCGCCATTTTATTTCTTTTGTTTACACGCTGCATTTTGCTTTGCAAATTTAATACATCAATTTTTTAGGCAAATATAGGTTTTTAATAAAACTCCTCGGACTAACGTGTAGGTAAGTGTTGATAATTTTTTTTTCATCTTAACATGCTCATTGTCGTTCTCCTGATTTTAGGAGACAGAAAAGGATCATCAAATCAAATTGAATTTTATATTTTCCTTCCTATTTATCCTTCCTAAATATCAACGAGATGAGCCATCGGAAGAAAGGGACCATAGTATAAAACAGAAGGTGATCTTTTTTTCTTTCCACTTCGGATATTGAAATTATTATATACTGTAGTCGTGTTCGGCATTATGCTCTGAGAAATATAGATAAACAAAGAACAACAGATATAAGCATCCCAGAGGAAAAGAGAGGCAATACCTGTATGTACTCTCTCTGATATTTGTGAAAGTTACATCAAAGTATTGTTGTAAATGTCATCTTTTGATCAACCTGAAAACTTCGAGCAAAAATATGACACTTTCAACAATACCCTGACAGATATCAGAGATGATACAGGTTTTCCTCTCTTTCCCCTGGAATACTTTTAATGTATTATTCTTTGTTTATCTAGATTTCTCAGAGCAAACATATGAACGAACTCAGCTTGTATGTTTGAAATAATCGTCCAGTTGGCTTAAAATGATGATCGAAGACATTTCCCATATAATTTTACTTTCAAAATTATGATATATCCTTTATTTCTAAGCCATCTATGACGCGATTTTTTCAGTTTTGTTATAATTAATTTTGTCTCTTGATCTACTTGTAACATTATTCTTTTAATTTTATTAATTTATTGTGGTGAAATTAATTTCTGTTGTATATTTGATATTGATATTAAACATATTTTTAAAAATGGTGTATTTTTTGTGTTTTTGTGTATGTCATAATTAAAAATAAATGAAGAAATAAAATTTTTAATTTTTTAAACTTCCCGCCATGCGTGACAATTTAGTCCGTAGTTCCTACAAGCGAAATTGGGGGCGCTAGTAGCAGTAGACTTGACAACAGTGTCAAATTTAAACGTCAATTTCACTTTCCAATATTTAGCAAGGCGCTCGCACTTCTTCTTGTGTATGTGTTTTGTGGTTAAAAATGTAGACTACTTAGACAGTAGTGAAGTAGACTTGTGGTGGCAAGCAATGTGCAAAAATACTCAGTTGAAATATTTAGCTGTTGCTCTGCTGTCTTTACCAACTGTCTTAGCAACTGTTCGTAGCTCATAACAATAAATTATTGATACAAAAACAAAAAGTGGATTGGTTTGGTTTGGTATGATATTCAATTCATACAACATGAAACTCCTCCAGAACCACTAGAACCTGTAGAGGTAGAAGTCCATCCTTCACAATCAGAACCAGATGATACATCAAATATATCTGATTTGGAAATAGAAACTGACGAAGACAGTACTAATATACTACTACTATAATACCCTATGAAGATGGGGCCAGCTCGGCGCCTGAAAGTATTCCGGAATGGAATAATTTAGTTATTTGTATTTTACGTTTTTTAAATTTATATTTCGTGCTTTTTTGTTTTTTTTTTAAGTTCATAGTCATAGTTCAATGTTACCAAATAAGTTTTGTTATGTGTTATGTTTATGACTTTTATGATGTATTGTTTATTAAAAATATAACAACTAATATTATATTTATTGTTTTTGTTTCACTTACATGTTGGTATGAAATGTCTATCTAATTTATTTCTTTATTGTATCAACAAAAAACATGTAAAATTGTAAAATTTCCTAAAATTTCATAAATTTCCGAAAGTTTCGGAAATTTCCTGCAACAATCAAAAATTTCTGAAATATTAACATCACTATACAGAGGCGATGGATAAGGCAAGTTTTGGAATGATGCTTGAACTTCTGTATGCTTTTTAAAGTCCTCCTACACTGGGTGCCTGCTCACCAAGGGATAGAAGGCAATGAAAAAGCAAATAATCTAGCTAGGAAAGGAGCGAACACTCCACTAACTGGACCAGAACCGTTCTGCTTTCCAAGTGGTAACCAACTCAAGGCGGAACTCAAGAACTTGGAAGATTCCATCCGCAACCTGGAATGGAAATCTTGCAACGGTCTAAGACACTCGAAGAAGTTTCTGAGGGCTTATGATCAAGAAAAATCACAGATATTCCTGGGTCTGAGTAAGAACAATCTTCGGATTGTCAAGGGGTTTTTAACAGGACACTGTCTCCACGAATGAACACCTCAGTAGATTGAAACTAAGAAGAAACGGCGAATGCAGATTCTGTGGGGAAGATGGGGAAACACCAGTACACCTCATCACTGAGTGCGCCGAGACGACAACCATTCGTGCCATGAATTTTGGTACGACTGATATTGGAGATGGAGAACTACCCTCTATAAAACCGTCCCAGATACTGGCTTTTGTCAAAGCCCTGGGACTGTATGATGAGTTATGATTCAAGAAAGGGGGACACAATGGATCTGTAAGGTCGAAGTGATTAACCCCCCTCCCACTCATTCTAAATTCTAAAATTCTAAAAATTCTGTATGCTTTTAGCATACGATAAGGTGAGTTTTGACACATTTTTGGTGGTTTAAGGCATAGATAGCTAATAAAAGATGCTATAGCCATTGCAATCTCGTTTTACGTAAAAAATGGATAAGGCGAGTTTTGGAACGGAACCCTTTGACTACAAACATAAAGCTTTTTTTATTTTTCACAGGCTAATTGGTTTACTTGATGCGACAGCTTGCTGTCCTTTTTTAATTAGGATATAAAAAAATATAAAAAAAAGGAAAAAGTGCGCTCTGAGTTTCAAAGGAATTCTCATTTGTTACAAATTTAATTTTGTAAAAGTTTCGACCTCTTTGATGACGTCCACGCCAACTTTTATTGATTTCTCTATATGTGTTTAATCATAAAGTCTACTGATATGATGATTGTTCAAATATCCGACCCTTTTTTTACAACAAATCGTGTCGGACAATCTTTCGCAGTCCCTTAAGGAGTGGTCGTGAGCCGGACAGCACAATTAGGTAGATAAATCGAATGCCATTTAATACTTTTTCATTTACTGGAACGGTCCAGCTCAGCTGTTCGATAGATGAAGTAGAGATAATTTTTTTCGGAAGCGATCGACTCAATTTGTAGACAAATGGCAACCGATGCCAAAAAATTCAATTCCCATTCCTCTAGCCTTGTCTTAAACACAGGGTGACTATGTCGCGGGCGCATTGATGAAATACCTGGCATATTATAAAACGCTAGGTTTTAAACAAAAGAAGGAATTTT